GGGGGTGCTATAGGATGCATGCGCTCACCAGAAAGACAGAGACAGAGAGACAGAGAGACAGAAAGCAAGAAATCACCCCCAGGGGGGAATGGTCACGCCGCAGTCCCTTCTCCTCCATTCTCCTCTCAGGATCTTGGGCACGCACGCACACGCGCTCGGCGTGAGTTTAAGGCACCAGATCTGGGACTCGAACTGTGGTCGACTGCATGGGAGTCCAGTGACATAGCCATTACGCTAACTGCTGGTCCCTTCTTTTTCTTTTTTAAGAATTATTTTATTTTAACTTTATTTTTGACCAGAGAGAGAGCAGGAAAGTGAGAAAGGAAGCCACCAGGTCTAGGCTTGAACTGTGGTCAGCCACGTGGGAGTCCAGCACCGTTAGCCGCCAAGCCGCGGCCCCCTGCCAGCACCTGTCTGTGGCCCTCCTGGCAGAATTCGCAGCCGCCCGCTGGCAGTTCCTGTTGGAAAGCTCGTCGATGCCGTCTGGCCAGCTCAGGAGCTGCACCTCCACCCGCCCCGAGCTCTGGCCCCAGCCTCGGGGGGACGTCCCCCGGGCTCTCCCAGCCTGTCCTAGAAGCGGCAGCCACACCCGCCACGCCAGCCACACCCGCCACCCGCCCTCCTGTACCGCAGGGCTCACCTGCTCCTTCGAATTGTGGGTGTCTTTCCTAGGCTGTCTCTTTACATGGGATGGTTCTTGTTTGTCTGGTTTGGTGGGGGGTTTTTTGCATTTTTTTCTGGTGAGATTTTTTTTCTATAGGACATGTGTGCTCGCCTGAGAGACAGAGACAGAAAGCTAGAAATCCTCCACAGGGGTGATGGCCACGCCACAATCCCTTCTCCACTCTCCTCTCGGGATTTTGGGCACACACCCACGCACACAGGCCTGGTGTGAGTTTTAAGTGCTGGGTCCAGGACTTGAACCTCAGTTGTCTTTGAGGGAGTCCAGCAATGTAACCATTACACCATCTGCTGGTCCCTGGAGTTGATTTCTGTCAGAGTTTCCTGTTCAGATCCTGGAGTGGTCTCAGTGTCCCAGCTGGAACCCAATGGCACAGGCAGGCCCATGAGACACTTTACTGGTGGATTCGGGGCTTTGGCTCGGTGCACACTCGCCCATGGGGTTGGAAGTGGGGTGCCAGCGCCCCAGCGTGTTGCGCCTGGTTGGCTGGAATAAGGTGCTGTCGGAGATCGTGCCCATGAGCCCGTGGGCTACTGCCCTCAGCACGTGGCGAAGACAAGGGCCAGGCTGGGGAAGGTGACTCCGCAGGGCCCTGGAGCGCTCGCAGGGGACACGCGGGCTCAGCACCCTGACCCCAGCTCAGGCAGAGAACGCCCAGCAGTGGGAGACGTGCATTTCCGGAACCCCCAGGACTGGTGCTGCTGGAAATGGAGCAGGACACATCACCGCACACTGCGATGGCCCTGGAGCGCACACCCTCGCGGCCTGCTCCCGTGACAGTCAGGGCAGCTCGGCGCCCCGACTGGCGTGCCACTTGAACCCCAAGGAGCCACTCCGCCACGGGAGCAGCAGCCGCAGAGACTGGCCAAGTCCCGGGGGCCCCTCACCCCAACCTGTGACTGCGCCGAGGTGCTGGGTGTGTGGGCTGCTGCAGAGGGGACCACACGGGGACTGTGGGCACACTAGAGGACCAGACTGACCATTTCGCAAGCCACAGATGGCCCGTGGCCTCTTGCCCTCCTCCTCGGGTGCGCACGCACGTGTGTGGCGACCCTGGAAAGCGGAAACCCATTCTCGCCTGTGGACCGTGCAGGGAGAGAGCCTGGCTGACTCGGCCGCCGGAGACCGGGTCTGGGGCAGGTGCGAATGCGTGTGCACACCAGGTCGAGGCTCTCCGCACGTGCGCTGCAGAAGCCCAGGGGTCCACGAGGGCGGCTCTCGGGGGGGTGTCTGAGGCCCCCTGACAAGGGCCTGTGGTGGCCGACCACGGCAGAGGGAGACCCAGAGCACCAGTGGCAGGGGCTGCGGCCGAGTGCCACCTGCCAACCCCGACCACAGGCCAGCACACTCAGAGGGACAGCGACAGGCAGGTGCCTGCCCCAGGTTCTGCCTCGGCTGTCCCGGCAGGCCAGCTCTGAGAATGGGCCGTCGGCACCACTGGGCTCATCCCCGTTCCAGCAGGGGCCGAGGGTGATGCGACACCAGGGACCAGGCACAGGGCGGCCTGCTCTCCCAGACTCTCACCGTGGCCCCTGGGAATGAAATGGACGGGCCTGCTGCTAAGACCTGGCCTAGGTGACCGCCAGGCCGGGCCCAGAGCCCCGGGGGCAGGCCTCTGGAGGAAGAAGGTGGGGTGCTGCCCTCCAGGCCCGGCCCAGGGCTCTGCGGCCTGCAAGGTTGGGGGGAGCCCAGGGCCCTGCTGCAGACACCCTGCAGCCAGTCAGGCCAGGCTCCGAGTGCGGGGAACCCCTGTCCCTGCAGGCCTCAGGCTGGGGCGGGGCCGCTAAGCGGCGTCTGGGCAGCGGCCCCTCCCGGGTGCAGGGGCCTCCGGGTCCC